TGTCTTCTTTCGTCTTCAGGGAGTCTCGGGACGCTACACATAACTATGCACCAACTCGCCGTACGTGGGGAAATATCTCGTTCATAGATGTCTCCCCCAATCTCTCCTACAAACATCTTAAACATCAACAAAATTGACATTCATTCTCTCAAAAAAATATTTAAACGAAGATAATGCCAGCGTATCGCATGAAGCAAAATATGTGGTTTCCAAGTGGTTAGTTAAAGGATGTTAATGCTCTTCCCCGTAGGTCATATACTCAACGATTCGACATTACGCGCCATGGTGAAGGAGGCGTTGCACTACCATTAATTTCTAGGTGGAGAACTCACATTGAAATGTTGGCATTATGCTCTCCTGCTATTGCTTGCAATATGACCAAGAATATGGCTATTGGTACGTCTATATTGTCAATGGTGGTACACGAAAATATCCAGCAAGACAGATTCCCTTTTTCAGCAGAATTGAACGCGCTAATTCTGATTAGGCAGGTAACTCACCTACCCTCTTACTTACATAGATGATAATGACATTGTACGCGGGAACATTTAAACTGTTTAATAAAGCAAGATAATTAACTCTTGCAAAAGAGCTAAATTGTTACTAAGACATCTTTTCTAACCTACATGTTGGCTAAATCTATGAAGCAACCAAAATTAGTGCAAAAAATCTTCTAGATATGTAAAAAGTATATCGTTTGAACCTTTAAAATTGGATGCAATATTGTCAAGCGGCTATTTGAAGTCGTTTTCCAGTGGATACACAGTACGATGCTTTCCTACGTAATCGACTCTTCTCACCTCCACTGCATTCACAGCAAAAAACCTTAATTTTTTTGGCATCGCTCTTTTTTGATACAACTTTTACTACTGCTTTCTTTGCTCCGTCTGCTCCACATTCTGTTTTGCGGCTACTTCTGTCTCCGCGGTTACTTTATTTGTAGATTAGAAAGGGTAGGTCATTGTTAAGCCTTGCAGAAGGCAAAACGTGAGCATTTTGTGGAAGTTTACCCTAAATGGTCTACCCTAATGTTGATGGTAGTGACAGAGCTTCACAATTCGGCATTGGCAGCAAAGGCGTCGACGTCGTCGTCCACTTTTACGTCAGCTTTAGCAATGGCAGTGACAGCAACAGCAGCGGACATGGTTTTGGACTTGCAGATTGGGTGGTGGTGGTAGGGACAACAATCCACCAGCCATTGCTTGAGGCTTTTCACCACCACCATTAACTGGTGAGTATTTTCCTGCATTTGGTCAAATCAAAGGCATTGATGAAGAAAGAACCTCGTTTTTTGTACATGAGTATCTAAAGAGCGAGAAAGTGAGCCTTGCTAAACGCAATCATGTAGTGAGGCTAGCCCATGCGCCTTGCCCCAATGCACCGACGACGGGCCCTCCCCCCACTGGCCATACACAAAGTGGAGATACATGGGGCCAGGTAAGAGCTGTGTTTAAAAGTAATCAAAAGTAACGCATCACTTGAATATTCGAAATTTATGGTATTATTTGAAGTGATCTTTCAATGGATGTATGGCGTGTCGGAGTGTAGCGGATTACTATCACCGACATCTATTTGCTGTGTTATCATTGACATGGCTTACTTCCGACGGGTGGGCTTTTTATCCTTGTTTTGGTCGTAATATTGTCCATTTTTTCTACTACTATACTATCTCATAGGAGAGTGTGATTAACGTGCATAACCACACGTACATTTTAATGGAAGGTGTTGCTTTTTGGCAAACTCGATGTATTCTTTCGTTTGTGTAGTAGTCGTCTTTCTCGGCCTTTAAACACTTCTAACAGGTTGTTGCAGTGGAAGATAGTTGAAAGATGTGGTGATTGCATGACAAATCATGAGTATGTAAGGCATTTATTTTGTTGCCTTACTTCACATTAATTGCTGTTATCAGTGGATGTTACACATTCACTTAGGAGGAATGTAGGTCTGGTTTTCATCGGACCGCTGTTGGGTGCCACTGAATATGCAATCACAAATTGTCTTTTTACACACAGAAATTGTTCTGTTGCGTCACTTTCTGTAAATGCTGAGCACTCTGTTCGATAGCTAAGGCGTAATGTTGATTGATGCTTTGAGAAGTAGAGACGATGGCAAAATTGTTTGCGATATGCAACTTCAACTTGTAGATATTGGTTGTGTAAAATGGTCAGTAAATTCTTTATGCCGTGATTGCCGTGATGGTGGTAGTTGTTAATCCTGAATGAGGTGCTATGTATTAGGTGTTGATAAGGACAGACCGGAACGTTCTTGTTTTAGTTATTTTGAAAGTGATCAGTGTTCAAAGCTGGCGTTCTGGAAATGCAGATGAAAAGTGACTTCTTCGCTCTTTGTAGGAATTTGTTTGACTTTGTGTATTGTGTTAGAGGGAGCATTTTTACTCGATACTGTCGGGTCGGCTTTCAGTGCGATTGGCGCCTCTCAACAATCGTTGAAACGCACGTTCTATGCTTGATACTGTGGGCAATTTGACCATTGAGTTTTGATGGATGGGGTTCTGCCTCGTAGCTGAAAAATCAGTCTTCTTGAGTGCTATTTTGTTGCAACGACCCTTGGTGGTAAAGTTCTTAAAGGCTGACAGACGTTTGGAAAAGATTTGTTTGATAGTGCCGAAGTGGATGATGGCAGCAATGTTAGTGCTAATGTTTGCATTATCTCTGTCACTTGCGTACCAACAGTAACAATGACGCACTCGCAGTGGATTGTGGATAACCAATCTGCTGATGTTGCATACGATGTGTGACTCTGTAGCTCATCGATGTTGGGGACTCAAGCCCCCAGGTTATAGCCACCACGTTGTTTGCAAGGGTTTGCTGTCTTTCGATCAGCGTTGCTAACTACACATTTGGTTTTATCCCTGTGTAAGGGCTGTAATGACGTAGGGGTGAATATGATGGTTCCTCACATTTCCAATTATAGGGCAAGCTATATTTACAGCCTTCTTTGGGAAAACCATCTTGGCAGAATTGTTTCTCAAACTTCTCTATGCTGCGCACTTCATTTACAATATCATATTGGAGCCGATTTTTCTTTTTCTAAATTCTCTTGGGCCATGCTGCTGTTTGAACCTAACCAAATACCAAGTGAGGTGCAAGTATTTGTCTTACCTCATGTACTCAAAGCTTAATGCAGATGACTTGCATGAGAAACGTACTCGCAATTATAGAGATGGTGGCGATTGAGCTCAGCAGCGTGAATCCTTGCAGGACTGTCCTGTATCCGTTTTATTGTCTCACCATTAAGTGCGCTGTCTGTGGTACGATTTGGAGTTGTCCATGTAAGGGTGCATCTTTGTTAGTGTTGTTGAGGCTGAAGTCACCGCATTTATGATTCAGATATGTTGGACGGTGCAGGGCAGACTGGACGTGGTTCTGGCGCACACCACTAAGTTGACTCGTCTGTGAATGGTTCATCCCACATCCATGGCGCGTCCTTTGTCTTGTTGGATCCACCATCCTGGCGGGAGCTGTGGTGGTGGCTAGCATTGAAATCAAAACTGTTTGTTTGGGAGACCTTATCGGCAAGATAGTTTTGCGTGCGACTGAGGGTAATGTAAATGCACCCTTGACCACTTTTCTAAGTCGCCACAGCCCGTAGTGATTAAAAAAGGCAGTGACATTGATAATTGGGGCAATTGGTCAATTGCGTGTAACAGTTTGCCATGTACAATCGTCATGCAGACTAATTTTACTGCCGGTACTCAACTTCTTCACCCTTGCTGCTGGTGCGCTTTTCAGTGACACCAAATCAAATCCCGACGAGCCCTTTAACAGGTGTAAGGAAGAGAAGGAGCAGACTGCGGGGTAAATAGGAGGAGGTAGCAGGAGGCGAGGTAGGTGAGATGGTCTTATTTACCCCCAAATGGCAAGTTAACACGGTGCGTAAGGTCTTCGATGTGCTCACCAGTAGTCGATGCGATGGAGGTATGCGGTAAATTGGAGGAGTAGGAGAAGACCAAATCTGCCTTTGCCTCCCGGTCTGACCAGACAGTGTGGAGCTAATTAGATGGGAAGAAGGTCACAGAAGGAGGAGATTATCATGGGTTTTTTGCTTCTACAGGTACGTGGCCGACTAAACTCTCAGATTGGCGAGGCTGTCTGAGAACATTGAGATTACACCCAGCCCTTTTCTTCACTGACTAGGACGGGTGAAGCATAGATGCGGGTGCGTCAAGACTATCGGCACCATCAAAATCGCAGTTTTTGGTGGGTCGCACACATGTGCAACTGAAGAGTCGGCTATTATTTAGTCTCATTTTTCTCCGCTTCGTGTATGAACAGTGAAGACGGGCCTGCCTAAGGCGCATTGACTAGCCCCACAACGCTATTGCGTTTAGTAAGGCTCACTTTCTGCTTCCTCGGGTGTTCACCGGTGGAAGACGAGTTTTTTTCCTTACCAGTGCCTCTGATCTTCCCTCTTGCAGGGTAGTATTGTTCTGTGGCTGGTGAATTGCCGTCTTTTCCATCGCCTTCTTTAGCATCAAGTCTGAGCTATCGTCGTCGCTGTCGCTATCGCTGCTTGCATCAAAGTTGATGCCCACGACGTCGATTTCTTTGCTTTGGATGCTGAATTTGGAAAGCTCTGTCACTATCATCAACCCAGCGCGCCATTACTGATGCGCGATGCGGACCTTCTGACAGCACGGAAACCACATCCAGCCTGTCCTTCACTGACAAGGGCATGTGGTATATGGGTGGAGAAGACCCAGCCTTACCGGCGCTACTGGCACCATGCGAGTCACAGTCTTCGGTGGGTTGCACACATACATTTAAACAAGCTTTGCAAAGGCACACGGAATGATCTTGCTAATGACCACTTGCTTCCATTTTAGTGGCGTAGGCATCTACAAAGACGGCTAAAGCATCGGTTTTTTGTTGTTTTTCCCCAGCATGTGATTAGATAACTCATTCCCAAATTTATCATATCATGAATATTCACAATTACGTTTGATCGTTGCTCTACTGCGTTTTGTCACTTCTAGGTGTGGTGGGCATGGCGGTGCGTTGGTGTCGGTGAGAGGGGGCAGCATTTAAGCAGTTAGGTCAAGAGTTACGACTAACAATCTGTCTATCTGACAGATTGGTGGGCAAGCCTATGGACATATAGACAGATAGACGAATGAATAGGCGAATAGATAGGTAAGTAGTTATGTGGATGAATGAGTCATTAACTAAACAAATCCCTCCTCGAAAGGTGGTTCTGCTATGCGTGGCATATGTTCTCCTCTCGAGACCTCCTGCACTGCATAACATTGTCGATTCAGCCGCCGTCTACGACGTCTGAGATTTTATTTCACAGCGTGCCTTACCTGGGGCTGGCCCCTTACGATGATCCAACACCTTGATTGAATTCAAAAAATCCAGGTGAAGGCAAATTAAGGCATTGGAAGGGGATGGGGAAGAGAGGTGGGGGATAAGCGTTGTAACCGAAGAGGGAAACACTCGATCAAATTCCTCAATTCACATTTGCTCTAGGTGGTGCTTCCCACTCAGTTCTGAGCAATGCATCGGAATGGGACCAAATTACTTGCTGCCGCAAATTTCGCTTTGATGAAGGAACTTTTCTCCACAGGCCATCAACTCGGACTTTGTCTTCGCCAACTTAACTCCATTTCAGTCTCATCCTTCTTCCCAATCCTCCCTTCCCTTTTGAAAGTCCTTTTGGTATCCAATTTGACAGAAGTAATATGCCCTGAAGAGGTGGTAATCATTGCTTGAAGAAAGGGCAGCTTCAGATTTGTTGTCACAAAAAGTAGGCCACTTGCTGACAGCACTGCATCCTCATTGCGTACGGTTTTACTGTCACACACCATGCTTTCTCCAAATGACAAGCAGAAGGGTACGGGGGAAGCCTGATTCATCCTTGCAACAATCTTCAACAGGATTCGTGAAGCAGACCATTTCGCATCCCAGGCATCCATCTCGTGCAGCCAACATGGAATGACACTAGACTTCAAAGGAATGTGGAGTTGGTGAGTGGAAGGTACTTAGGATGGTAAAGCTGTTTCCCCGAACTCGTAGCTTACTGCTTACACTTCAATAGCGCATTCGCTTTGCTCATGTTCTCCATTTTTCCGATACTGTAGGAATCTTTCACCTTATTTTTAGAAAAATTATAGCAAATACACGAAATAAAACAAGCTTCGCACTGAAATACGTGATGCGTGATAAAGTGTGACACCGAGCGACCTATTAGGTTTGCATAGGAAACAATCTGCACTATAGTAAAATCCTTTGGCAACATTTATTCACCACCCGTCTTTCGGTTTGGCTTCGACTTTTCCAAAATGCCACAGTGCAGTGCTTGCACTACTGTTGGGAAATCGAAGGAATTTGGCAAACCATTGCATTTCTTTCCCTTACCTTGCGGATGCCCTTCATGTGTTCCGTGGCCACATACCAAACACGTTTGAGGACAGCTGAGTTGTGATGTGGTAGACGTGGTTGTTAATGCGATGACCTTTTTCTCTCCTTGGGTTACGTTACTTCTACATGAAATGATGCCTGTAATTAGCGGGTGAAGGTAAATTTTGTGTGATTTTGGGGATAGCTCGCTGTGGTTTGCAGGACAGTGTGGAATGCGTGCAATGCACACAAAATGAAGCCTGAAGAGGTGCACATTTTGCACCACATTCTATTCACCTTCGCATAACTATTTGGCATGTAACCTAGTAATGGCAACGTGCACTGAGTAGGTGGCAATCATCACTTGAAGAAAAGGGAGCTGGGGAAGATTTGCACGTCAAGACGCGATGGTATGTCAAGGTGAGCGCTGGGAGGCAATGCCTCACCTCCTCCAGGTGCGATGGCTACCGGCTTTACATGTCAGAGAGATATGCGTGAGAAATGGCATAGACAGGGAGTGGCCAAGGCTACAGCGGGTAGACAAGTCGAATGACATCCGACAAGCTCCCTGCCGCTCAATCGATGTGAGGGTTCAGTTATGTAAAGGTCCAAAAGAAGGGGACTGTAGCAGAGAGCAAAATAGTGGACCTCTTACAGACGGATTGACGTAAGACCATCGACGACTTACATTGCACGCATCAAAATAATCTTAAGTATTTTGCAGGAATCAAGAGTCGGAGGATGGTATTGGAGCTAGGTGGGCCATAATTATTTGATCTTGCGGTTGCTCGAAATTAAAAGTTCTGCACCTACATTCACCTTGATTGCTAATTTGCGGTGATTTGTTTGCCAACTTTCTGCTTCTTGTGGTTGGTCATAGTTTCTGCAGCGTAAACATTTTCGTGGTATGTAATTCACTTTTTGAAAATGCTGATGATATCAAGAAGATATATCTTGGGTTTCATCACATTCCTCCTTTATCGTTTATCTCCAATTTAGTACTAATTTCAAGCCACCTGTCTGGGTTATTGCCAGCTCCCCATAATTGCTCGATCTCAGCCTATAAGAAACTGAAGGCATTTGTGCCCCTGTATTTTTGCGGATTGCATAAACCTCAAATGGATCAATCTTAGCGGATTTCAAGACGGAGGCGAGTGGCCTGCATCCCCACCTTCACCTCCAATGCAGGTGGCGGCCTAGCTTTCACCATTCCCTGTCAGTTTTAAGGGGAAGCCTCTGCTGCTCATGCTCAGGCACACATCCATGGGGTTGAGTTGACTGACTTCTCACGAATGCTGTCCCGGCCCCGTTTAAAATCATTCATTTGGTTTGCAATTTGAAGAATAAGATGGGTAATTTTATCTTACTGAGTCTCTGTTTGCTTAAAAGACATTGTAATTGTATTGTGGGGTGAATTCGCATCTTGAGGTCTGATTACGTCCCTCAGCTGTAGGTAGGTATATTTACATCTTAAAAAAACACCTTTTGTCGAGACCTATGTTGATTTTTACTGGATGGATTTCGTAGACGCTTTCATGACCGAGGTCATGGGGGAGCTGTGTGGAGTGGAAAAAAGTGCTAACGTGCTGCTGCGCGTGCGGTGCAATAATTTCCCAAAAATCATACCCCACCTCAGTGATTTTTGGCTGCAAAAAAAATCATTAACACGAAAAAATTTCTGATTGAGGTGCTTGCAAATGAAAGTGTTGTAGGCCTGCTGACCATAGCCGTGATCAAATTGATTGTCAAGGTGCGCGGTCGATACTACTTAACGCGGAAAGTAGCACGTTATGAGATGGATGTTTCACTTTGAGGCCTTGTAACCAAGTGAGAAATTGACAAAAAGAGGAAAAAAATAACAGAATCGGAAATAACCTTTTTATGTAAAATGCTTTGATAAACATACCTAGTATTTTATGTGCGATGATATGCTGTTTTGCTGATGCTTGAGAATCAAGAATTCACTTACATTGTTTCACTCCCCAACAACCTCCACTGAAGTATTGCATTAATTCAGTCGTTCATTTAGAATAACCATCCATCCTAGCAGCAGAGGCACGTAAACCTGATTTTGCCAGATGTACCTTGGCAATTTGATGGGAGGTATTGTCCATTCACGAAATCGACACATTAAACACATTTAAGAGATTGCTTCAATGAACGTTAGTCGGATGACATGGTGGTTCTATAATTGTCCCTGAGGATATAAGTTACTTATTGTTGATGTTGGCGGATGTAAGACATCCGTTATGGCAACATTTAAGTTTGGATACATCAGATTATTTTTGTGTGCCACATTAAATTGCCTACTAGTATGCAGCGTTTGTACTGTTACCTCACCTACGGTAGATTCTGAATGCGATGCTTAGTGACTAAGGCGTAGCTTTTATTAATGCCTCGTGAAGTATAAGTATGGTAAAATAGGGCTCAGTAGCTCAGTATTGTTTTTAAAAGGGTTTCATGCAACGGCAGGATTGTCAAGTGTCAGGTAAAAGGAAGAGGAACTGTAGGTGGATGAGAAGCTAACCGAAGCACCCATGTTACGCTTAAAAAAGCGCAGGGAACAAAGGTCAGGGAGATGCACACCCAGACGATTCTTCTGCCTAGGCGGTTGATGACGACTTCCTCGTTACGCGACTCGCATCCGTTGAAGGCTTTTTCCCAAAAGGAAGAAACACATGTTACATGGTCTCCTCGTCTTTTCGAGCACCATCTGCAAGTACCTAGAAGGCTACATTAGCTTCAGTCTTAGTGGGTAGAAAAGACACCCTAGGTGAAATTCGAGATGGCTTTGGTGAATCATAGAATATTTGCTTTAAGAATCATGTCCCAAGCCAGGTCTGGACACATATTAAATTTCACTTTTTAAGTTTTGCCACCTACACTGGCATTTAATGACGTCTCCCCTTCTATAATCATCTCTTTTCCTTCTGCCGAACGTAATCTTGTAAACGGTTAAGTGATCCTAATGCTGAAACAAAGTGCTGGAGAAGCCTGAAGACTTATTATTAATATAGATATGCCAGAGTTAGTAAGAAAACTGTGTGCATGTCCTTCTATTTTGCCTGGAGATCGTAAGTTTGAGTGATGGCCCTTTTGTGGGCAGACAGAATAAGGGAAAAAAAGACTCACATGATTTGGGAGTATTACGTGCAGGGCCTCGATGTTTGTTGGGTTCGAAGGCCTGCTGAGGCGGTTGTAACACCGACCGTAAGTAGGTCCTGAGGCATTCTGGTTCTAAACTTGACGAGCTGTCCGAGGGAGTTGGTATTCGTCTCATAAGCATTCCAGCCATAAGGAGTGATCAAACTGCGTGTCTGAACTGGACGCTGCTTGGCGGTGAGCCACGAACGGTACGACCACCTAGAAGGTGCGGAGGTAAAAAGCATGGAAAACGAAACGATTTGTAAAGAAAACCTAATTGGCGAGGCAGCTTCGCACACAACTGAGAGCAATGTGCGTACGCCATTGACCACCAGCCTAAATTGCCATTAGTAGTGGCAATGAAAACGCGTTAGCATGAGAGTTTATGGCGATTGCCTAATTGGGGTAAATGGTCAATAGTCTGTGGCAGTTTGCCAAGCTCCATTGTCATTGCCTGTTGATTTGACGGTTGAGAAAGATGCTCTATGAGAAAATCTGCAGGTCTTCCGTTATTCAATATCTGGCACACCATGGATGATGCCCCTTCCCGCGAAGCCGCATCCACTCTCAGGGGGCCCTTCTAAAGGATTAAGGAGGAGAAGTATACGTTTGGAAAACAGGAGGAGGTAGCAGAAGACGAGATATATGAGAGAGCCCGACCTACCTCCCACAGGTATGTTAATACTGCGCCTAAGCTTTTTAACACCCTCGCTAGCAGTCGACCTGGCATCTATTTGTTAGGAAAGCAAATGCGGCTCGCGAGAAGGTGGGAGACACTACCACGGGGCTACCAACTTAGGTGGATGTGATGAAGGGAGGAGGAGATCATCTCAGCAAGATGTAAAGTGGCGGCAAAGGAACGTGCCTGAAAGCAGTTCAAGTCAAGACGTTGTTTGGATCGACGAGCGGATGATAGCAGTAGCCAATCAAGGAAGGCACGATGCAGTAGCGGACGTTTTGTTTGTGCTGGAGGCGATAGTGGGACGATGGCACATGCCCAGGTAAGTAGAGTGGAGGGTAGGTCTTCGTCTCACTGCAAATTATAGGAAAGGTAGTATGATTTCAACGGCAAAGCTCTTCTCCAGCTGGAAAACTAAACCAACTAGTCATGTGCATGCCTAATTTCCATTCCACAAAAATGTGGAGAAATGCACCTTGCTTATGACAATGAGGAGAAGGTACTTAACGCAGACACCGTTCATTTTTTCTAAGTCCAAAAGATGTGTATCTTAAAGTGTGAAGTCTGTAAATGCGCACTTTGATGATGATAGGTGGCAGAAGCTACACCCGAGTAGATGTGGAAAAGCTTGTCCATGTTATGTAATTGTCATCTGTTATATCGAAAACAACATTATCCATAAAGGTAAGTCGTATATTCAAATAATATCCTCGATTTAGCATTAAAAAAATACTACGTTAACGGATTTAGGAAACAGACTTGCACTTCCACTTCCAGTTTCCAAATTGCTTGACATTGATGACTCTAAGAGCAATACTTGAAAATGTCGAAATGATTTACGGGCACATCGCGACGACATGAAAAAAGGAGCGATTTGACAGTATCCGAAATAGGTCAGTGAGAAGGTAAAGTAGCGGGTTAAGGAGTCCGACTTAACGAAATACCAGTAGTCTCATCTACACTACCAAGCATGGTATGTGAAAAGAAGAAAACAGTTACCCTTCCCAAGGTGCTCACAACTGTGTTCAGCTTATTGTCAGACGTCCCCTTGCACACAGAGACACATAAGCAACAGAAAGATTGTTACCATATCTCAACGGCAACAATCGCAGCCCAGTGTTGAGACAAAGTAGGACGATTGCATATTACTGGCGAGTAGACTAGAATACGTGATGCGTGGCGCTCAACTACTGCTGTAGACATCTAAACTGTCAAAGTGCTCTTCACTAAGGACATGAAGGCTAACTGTGAGAGGCGGCTATTTTCCACCACCTTCAACTAAAATTGAGGTAAGGGCTTTCACAGTCCACAATCCTATTGAACTCTATTATGACGTTAATCTGGTGTTTTAAGTAGGCGGCTGTACTGACTTGACACCACCTCCTGCCCGACTGCGTCCATGACCACATGTGAAGTTCAAATCAAATTTTTCATTGATTGCAAGCAAGTGAGGAAACAATCAATCAGTCAGTCAGTCAATCGATAAGTCAAGTTGCAGTTGACATTAGCACTTTGACCTTCTCCGTGAAGTTTATGCACATGATGACATCCAACGATTTGGAAGTAACCGCTGCACAACTTGAGATGCAGCTGCTGTTTGCTCTCATGTACCTCCACTGCGTATACAGCCAGTGGAGGCGGGTCAGACGTCGACGCCTTGTGGCAAGGCGCACCGACTGGACCCACAACGCAATTACGTGTGGTAAGTCTGACTTTCTGCCCCTTCCGCTGCTCACACATGGAAGACGTGCTGCCTTCCTCACTAGTGCCTCTGACCTACCTACTTA